CTTGCTTTACCTTACAGCCACAAGATCAGATGTAATGTTTGCTGTTAATCTGCTATCTAGATTCAGGCAAGAGCCAAGTGAAATGCACCTCCAAGCTGCAAAAAGAGTGTTGAGGTACATTAGAGGAACAGAGGATTATGGAATCAACTTCAAAAGATCAGAAACTCTGTTTTTGACAAGTTTTATTGATAGTGATTGGGCCGGTTCTGCTGACGACATGAAGAGTACTTCAGGCTATGCCTTTTATGTTGGTTCAAGCCTTGTTTGTTGGAATTCAATTAAACAAAAGACGATAGCACAATTCACAGCTGAAGTAGACTATATAGTAGCAACTAAGGCAACCAATCAGGCAATATGGCTGAAAAAAATTCTGAAGGATTTGAAGCACCAACAAATAGAGGCAACTACCATTCTTTGTGACAACCAATTCGCTATAGCAATTGTGAAAAATCTAGTGTTCCATGGAAGGACTAAACACATAAATATCAAGTACCATTTCATAAGGAAATCATAAGAGAAGAAGAAAGTGAAATTAAGGCATTGCAACTCAGAAGAACAGATTGCTAACATCTTCACAAAAGCTTTGCCTAAGGAGAGGTTTGAAACATTAAGAGATGGTCTTGGTGTTTCCAACAAAAGTGTCAAGGAGAAGTGATGAACCGTGTCAAACGTGACATTTTTGTTGTCAAACCATTTTGTTACCATTAGCTTGACATATATTTTGTAACATATAATAGCTTCAGTTATGTTTTATGTTTTATATTTTATGCAAGTTGGTACTGCAAGCTATCTAGATGATTAGTCAATTAAGGTTTGAGTTGTAGTAGGTAGTATAGTTGGTAGAAAAAATATTTTGTATTGTATGAAAGTATGGCTATATGAAGGAGCCGTGTAATACCATTTAATTGTAATTGAAATTCTCAATCTTTCCTCCTCTTTGTTGTTGATAAACCATCAGATTTTATGCTTCCATCTTCTTTTGAGCGTCACAACTAATGTATTGTAATTTCTTCAAAAGTGATTAAACTTAGTAGAAACCTTATTTGAACTCGGTGACATTCCAAAAATGAAGATTGAAGAAAAAGCCAAGAATTCACGTATTGTTTGATTATTATATAAAAAACAAAGTTTTCAGCCTTTTTTCGCAATAAGATTAGAGAATTTGCAGTTCTTGTAGTGCATTGCATATAACTCTCTTTGGAATGTGCATTGCACTATTTATATGGAGCTATGGGTGGTTAACTTTTGACCCAAAAGTTTACTCCTCCCATCCACCCACCCACCCATATATCTTATATGGGTAGGGTCAACCCACATAGGCAATCCATTGACTTCCAACAAGTACTTTAGATGAGCCACATAGAATTAAAGAACAAGATACACATGACAAAAATTTTCATTTATTCAGATTAATATAATTATGAAGTACCTACATATACAAACTAGCTATTACAAATCATTAGGCAGAAGTATTAGCTTGAGAAACCTGATGAGATACTCAATTCAAGGTTAATTTGATAATTGGGTTGAAAGTTTTTTTCATGTAAAATAGCTTTTTGTCTCAAGCTCAAATTTTCAATTTGAACATCACCATCTTCCTTATTCATTTCATCACTTGTTGTGCTTTTTCCTGAGTCCTGCAGATTAAACTCAGATATTGTTACTCCTTATATGCATATGAAATTATTTATAAAACTTATATATACAAGAAATTTCAGTTTGAGGAATGAGAATTTTGTTTAAAAAGGTGTCTAGACGATCATTTTTTTGATGTAACAACCAATATAGACCTTTTACAAAATAATAATAAACATAAATAAAAAAATTGCTTTGTTAAAAATGAAATTTCTTATAGTACTACAGAAGGTATAGAGACTAACCTGGTTCTTGTGGTTAAGCATAATTTTTCTGCTTTGGAAAGTTCTACTTTCTCCTTCACACTTTATTTGGCCTTTAACGTGTTTCCTCTTACATGGTTGTTCTCTTAATCCTTCGGAAACTTGTCTGCGTGGTGCATAAAATCGCACTTATTATGTGAACAATACAATAACACATGATGTAACCTTGAGCGTGAGATCATATATAGTCTCGGATTATGGTTAAAATAGTTGAATAAGTTTGGTAAAAAGAATTTATAAATTATAAATTGTGGATCTTACGAAATATGTAGATACAAACTGAATACAAGTCCTGAATGTATCGTTAAAATGATGTTTTACAAGTTTATAAGTTTGAAAAATCTTCGCCAAGCATAAGTATTTCTACCTTATTGCTCGAACGTTAAAATTTATTACCCATTTCTTTTATGTGTGCCACCCTACAAGAAATTCGAATAAATTTAAATCAAGAATTAATGTGGAACTTAGATTTTGTCACTGAAAAATGTTATATATCCTTGCACAAAACTAAAGGTTCAACGGACGCACTTTAACTTTTTCATGTTTCTTTCTCTACTTTCACAAAATTGCCATCTCTCTATCTTTCATTTGCTCAAGCCGTTATTATCCTCTTTGTCCACAAAATTGTGTACAACTCACATAGAAATTAAGTATGTAGACCTAATTTAATCATTAATTCTATATTATCTTTCATAAATTCTACATGAAGCATTTTCACTTTTCTTTCCAA